GGGCGGGCGGGCCCGGGGCGCGGGGGGCGCGGGGGCCGCGGGGCTTTGCAGCCTGAGGGGCGGGCGAGGGGGCGCGGCCGGCCCGGGCGGCTCTGGCCGAGGCCGGTTGGCGTGGGTCCCCGGCTCGGGGGGTCGCGGGGCTCCCGCGCCGCCGAGGTTGATTGGCACGCCTGACGTCTGTCCGCCCGGTTGGCACCGGGGACGGGGCCGGGCGCGGGGAGGTGCCCGGGGCGTCCTCCGGAGGTGGCCCCTGTCGCGGGTGCGGGCTCCCGTTCCTGGGGGCTGGAGGGGCGGAGGCCAGGTACGCGGGGCGGCTCGGCCGGCGCGGGTCGGGGGCGCGAACCGAGGAGTCCCGCGGGCCCTCCCCCACGCCCTGCCCTGCGACGCCGCGGACACCCGCGGCAGCTCCCAGGCGGCGCCCGGACCTCCCGGGGGTTCGCGTCCCCGGCCCTTGGGTGTCCAGGGAAGACGCGCGAGTGGGGGAGTCGCGGTCCTCCCCAGCCGTCGCGGTTGTGGTTGTGAATCAGCCCGGAAAAATGCTAACGCTTGATGTGGCTGGTTAGTGGCCGTGCGCCGAGCAGGAGTCTCTGGGAGGTCTGATCGCGTTAAAAACGTACCCCTCAGGGTGGCTTAGGGAAGGCCCACGAACACCTGATGCCCTCCTCACCCCCACGGCTTGAGAAAACTTTACGTATCTTTGTATTTCACAGACCTGTTTATGAGCCCAACCACCGCCGAGGAAGATGTGTCCGAGTTGCTGCTGAAACTGACCCGTATTGACCCGAGACACTCTTATTTAATTTATTTTATTTTATTTTTTATTTTTATTTTTTTGTCTACCCCACGGCTCTGCGCTTTACTGTAACGGCTTGAGAAAACTTGGAAAATAGAATAACATGCTGTGGTTTTGAACCTTTCTTTTTCTTTTTCTTTTTTTTTTTTTTTTTGAGGAAATTAAAGTGCCAGCGTGAAAAGCCAGAATGGCAGCCAGAGAGAGGCTCTTTGAACTTTGGATGCTTTATTGTACAAAGGTAATTGTTTTCCTTTTTATTTCTGTACTTGAAAATACTTGATTATAAAATTTTGTATCCGGCATTATGATCTTAATGAGTAGTGTGTGTGTTTTTTTATGTTATTAATCCTGAGTTGACAGGTGTGGTGGTATGTACCTTTAGCCCCAAAACTCTAGAGGCGGAGGCAGGTGGAGTTCAGCGAGTTTGAGGCTATCCTAATCGCCGTAGAGGTTTCCAGGAAAGCCAGGGCTGCACAGAGAGACCCTATCTCAAAACAAAATAAAACCCCAAACAACTCCCCCATCCTGAATTTAAAAAAACATGTAAGAGATCTCATATAGCTCCCCCCCCCCTTTTTTTTCAGATTTGAGTATGTTGATAATGGTCTACTTTTAAAAACTTACAAATTTGTTTTTTGTTATTGTCTTCAGTGATCTCAAAGTTATATAGGCATAGTGTGTCTATAAAAGAAAAATAATGCTCTTACTGTGTCTAGGATGTGTGGGGCACATGGTAGCCTTGGTACTGTTAGGTCAGGGGACAGTCTTGTGGATTTGGTTGTTCTCCACTTTTATATAGGCTCCCAGGATTGAATTTAGGTCAGTAGGATTGGGTGGCAGTTGCTTTACCCATTGAACCATAATACCTGCCCCCAAATATTTTATTTTTATGCTGTTTTTACCTCCCTCAGTTGGGGGTAAGGACATTTTTTGTGAGGACATTAAACTTTTTCATCAGCCTTTTAAAATTATTTATGAAGGATATTGATTGAGGTGATTATTATGTGATTACCATTATGTTAGCCCCTACTAGCATCTATCTCATTTGATACTAACTAGAATCTGATGAGGTGGAAATTGTAATTATCCTCTTTTACTCATGAGAACTGGAGTAGGTGTGAGTTTGGAATTCAGAAGTGCCTGATTCAGGTCCCAGGCATTTTGCCATTTAGAAATAAATGTCTTTGATATGGATTTTTGCATAGCAAGTTTGATTTTAGGTCATTGAGAAGGGTCCTACTTGTTTCTCAAGTGAGGATCTGTATTACCACTTTGAAGACAGGGTAATGGTCAGAGAACCATCCTCAGTCTACTATTTAAATTAACTTAGGTCTAGTTGTATATGTTCTCACTTCACAGCCTATAGTTTTATATTATGTATACATATATATTTAGTTTTTTAAAAAAATATAATTTCATCTATTTAACAAACAAAAGGTCATCTCATTTTCACAGGATTTTTTTCTCAACTCCTGGTTTGATAGTTATAACTATTAAAGTGTATCTGTACACACACACACACACACACATATATATATGTGTACACACATACATACCTTGAAATGTTAATGTGAAATTTTAAAATAACCTTTAGGCTTATGTAATTGACAGAAATATCTTTTTTAAGACAGCCCTTCCAATAAAAAAGGAATCCATTTCATCCAGACACTTTTGAAAAGTCAGTAATCTGTTAGCCAGAGGTTAAAATGACATTTTAGTATGAATGCCCAGTAATTTGAAAATGGCTCATTAAAAATATATTAAGAAGTGCTAAGTGAGATTGCACTGTTTTACTGGTTATGTTTTTTTGAGTTAGCTTGAGTGACTGTTGAAGAGACAGCGTGTTATTGATATATACTGATTTTTAAAATGTGTATTCCTGAAATGTGAACCCTTTTGTCATGAATTATCTCTCTTTTTCTTTCTTTCTTGAGGAGTACTGGGGACAGAATTCAGGGCCCTGAGTATGCTAGGCAAGCGATATGTCCCTGTACTACATTTAACCCCTACTGTCAAATTTTGAAGCCTCTCTTTTTGGACAGAAGATAAACCTGAATTTTTTTGATTAAAATTAAACCATGTTTTGTTTTAATAAGATATAATTTTTTTTTTTTTGTTTCAAAGAGTAGTTGTTTAAAAATTGTTTTTTTAAAAAATACTTTTATCAGTTCATGGGTTACATACTTTTTAGATAATAACCTACCCTTTGAATCAGATAGCGACTAAGTGTCATAGTTCTGAGATTAAACTCATCTCCTTACTGAGGATGCTAACATATCACTGATCTTTAGACTTTCTAGCCTCTATCCTATTGCTTTTACTCTAGCAGTTTGTTCCTCAAAATATGACTTACCCACCAACACCGGACACTTTTAAGATCTTTTTGCTTTGCTTTTTATATTTTTGAAGACTTCAGATCTTTTAAAAATGTTTTCTGCAACTGAATTCTGAGAGCTTCTTCGACTTTGTAGCTTGCAATTGTGAGGTTCAATTTTGGTTCTCCTATTTAGTTTTGTGACCCCGAGCAAGACTTACTTTTTTAAATCTGCTATGTAATATTATATGTTTCAGGAGGGTGCTTGTCAAACTCATCTAGTTTTGTGTTATTATTTTTTTTCCCAAGACAGGGTTTTTCTGTGCAACCCAGGCTGTCCTGGAACTTTTCTCTGTAGACCAGACTTGCCTTAAACTCTTTTAGATTTATTTTTATTTTATGTGTTGTGTGGGTGTTTTGTCTCCATGTGTGTCTGTTCACCATAGTCATGCCTGGTGCCATAGAGTGTAGAAGAGGACACTGGATCTCCTGGAACTGGCATAATGGACAGTTTTGTACTGGAGATTGAATCTGGGTCCTCTGGAAGAGTAACCACTTAGCCCTCTCTTCTTCAGCTTCAGATTTTGTTTTGTTTTGACCTTGGAGAGATGTGAGAGAGTAGGATGTTTTTGCTCTTCATTCTGTAAATTAGTATATAAAATCTTTTAGTGTTACTCTTTAAAGCTTTTATTATGGAAATTTTAAGTATGTACAAAGTAGGTAAGACACAGTAAAACTTTGTGAACTTGTTTCAGCAGTGATCAGTGTATACGGTAGTTCTTCTGTAACCTTCCATGTTGCCTCTCTCTACCGAATTATTTCAATTCAGATTCTACACAGTTGCAGGTGTTGCCTATATATATTTAAAATTATAGCTGTAAAATAAGTCTTTAAAATTATCACAAAATTCTGTAAATTATAAAAGATGCATTTATATTCAAACTTATCTGCTAATCTTATGAGACTTTATTTTATCACTGAATAATTCAGTATTTAAACAAAGTATAAATTTAAACAAAGTATAAACAAAGCTCTGTATTTATTGAAAGAATGTGTGAAACCTTATAGGTTTCCCTTTACCGTGCTTTTCTTTGCTATTACATGTGGTAGAAAGCAGTTTTGACCTTAGAGTTTTCTACAATCTGAATTTTGCTAATGGATCTGCATGAATTTTAAAAATTGGTTCTCTTTGGGTTTGGGTGCCTGTAAACTGGCACCTGATTCAGGTTCTAGTTTGGGTATGGAAGGTATAATAATTCATTAATGAAGCTTTTACCAATTTTTTACCTATTTTATGAGGATTTTGCATTACTGTAATGTTTTAGCATTTTCTTGTTTATTAGGATATGTACAGAAATGACCTTTTATCATTTGTTGATGACAGTTCCTTAAGAGAAAGTAATTCTGCATAAATGTTTGATTCTCTTTGTCAATTTCCAGAACAATGACTTGATTAACAAAATGACCAGTTTTTCTGGAGTACCAAGTTTATTTTTCATTAATAAAATTTAAACAAGTGTTTATCATTTTGCTGTTCTACTTGATTTTTTGAGTACACAAAACATTGTATACATACCTGGTTAAAGAAGAAAATTTTGAAGATCGTGAAGGTTTGTTCAGGGCAGTAAAGTTAAGACATCATTCATATTTGTCACAGTGCTAAACTGACGTTGGCACATGTATTTCAGTGTGTCAGTAGTAGGTTGCTCTTATAATGTCTTCACATTGCCACTGATCACTTTGAAAGTGTGGTAGATGTACCCTTGGCTTATACTGCTTTGTAGAGGAATGTTAAGGAGTGTGTTCTCTTGCAGACTAAACACTAGAGATTCAAGTCTTTTGCATAGAAGCTTCTGTCTTAGCAGTTGGATCCTCACATATTAAATTGATCAATTGGTAAAATACTTGGTAATTTTTTGTTTATAATAGTTTTTTTCTTAAATTAACAAGTATTTGAGGAGTGCTGTAATTTTTAATACATGTGCACATGGAGTAGTCGAGCCAGGCAGATTAACATGTATATCCTCTCACATAATTACTGTGTAGTATGCAGTTTGTTTTGTTGCCAGATGTTTCAGGTCTAACATTTCTTACCTTGTCCTTCTAGGAATAGTTTTACTTGCATTGGTAGAGATATGACTATCCATAACAGATTACTTGTTAACTTTATAGAGAAGTTAGTACACAAAAAGGACAAGAAGGAACAAAAGCTGGCTGCAATGGTGCAAGTTTATAATCCCAGCACTCCAGGAGGCAGAGGCAGATGGATCTCTGTGAGTTCAAGGCCTGCCTGGTTTACAAAGCGAATCCAGGACAGAGAAGGCTACACAGAGAAACCCTTTCTTGAACCCCCCCTCAAAAAAAAGAACACTGTTTCTGTTCTCTACAGATTGTTACAATAGTGAACATGTCCACTAATTAAAGTTACATGTAGTCTGAACTTTCTTGCTATTTAGTTATCCCCACCCAGGGTCAAGGATTTGATTTACAGTGCAGTTGCATTTCATATAGCTCTTAAAAGTTAAACATTAAATTTGAACTGCTCTAATCTAGTATCTGATTTTAGTTCATTAGTTAGCAGCTAGTTCTCTGGATATATAAGAGTAGACAGTCAAATGACAACAAATGTCTTTTGACATCATTTCTTTGCTTAATTTTTTATAAGATTTATTTATTATTTATACAGTATACTGCCTGCATTTGTGCCTGCACACCAGAAGAGGGCACCAGATCTCATTATAGATGGTTATGAGGCACCATGTGGTTGCTGGGAATTGAACTCAGGACCTTTGGAAGAACAGCCAGTGCTCTAAACCTCTGAGCCATCTCTCCAGCCCCTTCTTTGCTAATCTTAAGACAGAAACAAAAATAGAGGCAAGTTTTATATAACTGTATACTAGCTTGGGTAGTTATTAAGTATCTTT